AATATTTATTTTAAAGTTTAAATAACTTATTTTAAAGATTTATTTATGATATTTAATAACTTATATTACTCTTATTAAAGCATCGCTGCTGGGTGATAAGAGAGTTTTAATACTGCAATATATAGCAGGAAATATTATTTTGTGATATTTTTTTCAGATTAATTTAGTTTGATTACTTTTTTTCTTTTCGTCAATATTCAACATTGAAAAGTAAAAATAAAATTGTGTTCTGTTAAGAAATACCATTTTAAGGGAGGGAAAAAAATATCTATTGGTGCTCCGTGTTATTGAAACTTTAAAGTCCTTACATAATTGTCATAAAATATTGATTTATCGTGATAATTTTCCAAAATTAACTAATTCATATTATTTTGAAATTGGAAAATATTTGCGTTACAAAACAAAATTTATTAACTGACAATAATATCGTACTTCATAATTATTGTTATCAAATACTGGCGACATAATCGTATTCGATGTTTAACCGAGTTGATAATGGTCTTGATATTATTTTATACGATAATTACTGACATCTATATTATATATATTACCATATCAATGTGATATTACCATATATGGCAACGTTACTTTTAAAAAGTAACGAGTAAAAGTACAAGTATTTTTAAAAAAAGTAACGAGTAAAAAGTTCTTATTTTAAAAAGTAACGAGTAAAAAGTACAAGTACTAAACAAAAAAAGTAACGATTTAAAAGTACATTTTTAGAAAATCGAAAATTCAAAGTAACCTAAAATTTTATTGAATAATATTCTTATGTCCTTTAATGTTTTTGCAAAATTGTTGTTATTTATTTAATTATTTTTAATTTCGAAAGTTATGGATATTAATTTATTTTTAAATTCGGAAGAATATTACAATATAATTTTATAATCTAATCGTCCTAATATAATTTTAAAATCAAATATAATTTCAATATCAAAATTTTTATGGATTTGCACGAAAAAGAAATTTTATCTATTGACTTTAATTTTTAGTTTATTATTTTTATTTAATTAAATTACCATTGATTTAAAATTGTTTTACTCTTTAGAAACGCGTTTTAAAAACACAAACATAAACAAAGCAAACAGATAGCTTTGTGATCTTTGAGCTAGTAAAAAATAATTGAATGTGTAGTATAAGTTGAAACAGAAGGTATTTAAACACGAAGTTAGCTGTGAATGCATATATATTGCATTCACAGTTTTTTTTTTTTTTTTTTTTTTTTTTTAAGAAAGCTTACCGAGTTTTAGAAAAAAGTAACGATTTCATTCGATATTTCCGTTACAAATACTTTTACTTTTTCCCTAAAAAAGTAACGAAAGTACAAGTAAAAGTACTAAATTTAAAAAGTAACGAAATACAAGTAAAAGTACGTACTTTTTACTTGTACCGGCGGTACAAGTAACGAAAGTAAAAGTACTGCCATGTATGGATATTACCATATTACATAATATTTGCGATGCAGCCGTGATTGCTCAAGGAATAGAGTGTTCGCCTTCCAATGAGGTGAATCGGGTTCGAATCCCAGCGATGGCTGGTCGTCGATACGAATTCCGCATCGATACGAATTCCGACAACAGTACTGACGTAAAATATCCTCAGCGGTAGACGGATCATGGATAACATTAGAGTGACTAACAGTGGGAGGTTTTCGTGGTTTTCCTCTCCATATAACGCAAATACGGGTTAGTCGCATCAAAAAGCCCTCTACGAAGGCAAATTTCTTCCAATGCTTGATTCAGAAGTTTCCTTATCCTCAGGATTGGGTTCAAAATTACAAGCTACGGAACATTAGTAGTCGTAAACCCAAAAAAATTGGGTCGACTGTTCAACGACTGTTATGAAATGAAATACTTGTGATGTTATTACATTTGTTATTCATCGTTTATGATAATGATCTTTATCGTTATCAAATAAGATTATTTCCTTTTCAATAAGTTATATACTTTTTATTCTACTATTCCGTTCAATAAGTTTTAACGTTTTTTTAATGAATATTTTTATTTATATTTATATGATTTTTTTGGAATTTTTCTAACCATTTTTATTTTTACGTCCTTCTTATACACAAGAAGAAACCTAAATAAAAACTCAGGAGCCATGTCATTTGTTTTTAACGTAAGGGCAACCAAGGTGGTTATCGAGTAATTTATTATATACAATATTTATTAAAAAGAATCACACAGTATTAACAGTATTTTACTGAAAAGCCATATAAAAATGAAACTAAAAAAAAATTGGAGCACGAGTGATTTAAGGGTAAATTAAAGTTTCTCAGATTAGGTACTATTTTCACTTCAAAAAGTTATTAGTCAAAGAAACTTGCGAAGAAATTTTGCTTGTTAGAAAGAAAAATCATGAAGTATTAAAAAATAAACACCTTGCAATTAAAGTAATAATTTTTAAAAAAAATTAAGCATTTATAATTTTTTTAAAGTTATTTCTTTAGATGATTGGGGAAAAACAAAGGCGGCAGACACAAAATTTTGAAATTTTTAGAAACCATTAAGGAAAAGTGGTTTACGTATATTACGATTAGAATAATAATTAGAATATTTGTCAATTTTTGACATAAGGCAGCGATTGCATTCACGCACGAAAACTTGTTTAAGTATTTCAACTAAATACAAATTTGCATTGTTATAATTATTTTTTTTTAAAAAAAGGCTGCAGATTTATTAAATTAAACAAGACAAGTAAAATGTGTCACGCATCAGCAAGTGTCAAATTGTTTAATATTATTCACCCATGAATTTATTTCTAAGTTTAAAGATCACTTTAATTTTCCTTTCATCAATAAGTTTTTAAGAAAAGCTACTTATGTCTGATAAGAGGGTAACTTATCTTTATCCTATCTCGATTGTCCAAACAGACAACAATTACATTTGGTGTGCTTATCTAATCGGCACGATACATTGCACATGACGAATTTGGAACATTTAACTTGGCGAACAAAAATTTTGTGAAAAATAAAAAGAAGATTGTTTTAAAACTGAATTCACGCGGAAAGTATCTAAGGCACATATTTTGAAGTTTTATTTCAAAACAAATTATTAACCCACTTCTGTGTAGCGGTAGTCTTGCATTGATGTTTTTAAATGCTCACATAATTAAACAAATTAAGCAAAGTTAAATTGTCATTTCGCTACCCATGTAAAACTGTAGAGTCGTTATGATGCTGTGCGCTGAACTGTCATTGTGAAAAACTGGAGCACACCCTTCAGCTCGACGGGTACTAGCCATAGAGTCTAGCCAGTCTGGGAAGTAAATGCGGCCTGCGCGTAGTGTCTACCACATTCAAAAATTGCCAAAGATAGGCTTTTCAAATTTGGTTTAACATATGCATCTTTATTACTATCTTTCCTAGTTAGGTATTTTCGATGTAGCTAGGCGCCTGCGGCGAAGGATGGTCTTTTTCTCATTCATAACTTTTTAACAAATAGATCATATGTACATATTTTTTTACAATTAATTTGTCGTGGTAGGGTGATTTTTTTTTTAAAATTTAAATTGAAGATTTAATGCTTCAAAACGTTATAATGTTGCTACCACTACGAAAAAATTTTCTCAACGGCCGCACTGGTTGACAGCTATTTAAATATTATTAAATATTAATCAATTTCTTCAGCATGAAATTTTTCCCTTATTTGACCTTTTATAATGCAGGAGATAAAAATCTTAAATCCGCCGAAATAACTTAATTCAAAATAAGTACTTCTAGTTAGATTTTACAACTAAAATTGTGGCCATCAATAAATAATTGCACGTGATCATGATTTCATCTTTTTGCAATTATTAGATTAAAGAATAAATTAGTTATATGTCGAGATCCATATCAAATGTATAAAAAAAAATTTATATTATCATATAAAATTTTTTAAATTTAATCATTAAAATTCAAGACCTATATGAATGAGTAGAAAATTATAAAATAGACTATTTATACAAATATTAATTCAAGTGTTCACTATAGAAACGCAAGTGTCCTTTTCATTTTACCATAAGAAGTGGTAAATTATGAGCTTTGTTATCAAAACTCAAAAATTGTTTGATAAAAAATATTTTAAATAACACATTATACACAGATTATCACCACATGATAAGGCAGCTAAATAACATACTTGATATTGAATAGCTAAGAGTTTTTCCTATAACATTGTCATAATGTTTAAGCATAGAAAGTTATTAAAAATATATACATTTATTTAAACAAGCGATTTTCATGAATTAAGTTATTATTTTTTTTAAAAAAATGCACAATAAAATGTTATTTGCCTTAACATGATTATTAAATCTCTTCATGATTATTTAAATTATTATCTCTTCATGATTATTTAAATTAATGTTATACCGATTAAACAATCGGCCTGAACGGTAGATTATTTAATTGGAATTCAAATAATCATGGTTGTATTTGCTAAGTGAAATTAAAAGAAAGGTAAAAAATAGAATTTGACTCATTGATAACTTAAAGATTCATAATACAAATCTCACAAGTATTGAATAGTTAATTTTATTAGATATGATTAAAAAACAATTAACTTAAATAAATGAATTATGAATGAAACGTTTTGATAAGGCAACTAAATAACTTTTTTGATATTGAATAGCTAAGAATTTTTCCTATAACATTTTCTTAATGCCTAAGCATAGAAAATGTTCAAACACATTTATTTAAACAAGCGATTCTTGTTAATTCAGCTTATTAATTAAAAGCGAATGATTAAAATGTTAATTCCCTTCTCATTTTTTCATGATTATTTGAATTAACGAAAAACCGATTAAATAATCGACCTGCAAAAGCAGATTACTTAAGGATTCATTCATTATACAAATCTCACAATTATTGAATAGTAGTCTTACTTTATAAGATACTTAAAAAATATTAAAAAAAAAACAATTTACTTAAATAAATGAATTGTGAGTAAAAGTTTTATCAAAACGTTTTAAAAATGTAAGCTTTCAGGTTAAGTGAAAATGAAATAATCAAATAGACTTACCTTAATAATATTCCTTGTAGGGTCTGTATCATCAGCTTCAACCAGAACTTTAAAAAATGCAGACACACCATACACCACTTGCAATTTTTTCAACACATCATTCCGCTTCCAGTGACCCCCTGGCGAATCCTTAATGAGCGCCCAACCCCCAATATCATGAATCGTCTGCTTAATCTTCTCAGGTACCCACACTTCGATTTCTTTTAAATCCCTACAGGAGGCATAGAATGTTTTTACCTTGAATTGGGCACTTGTTGGGTCGGAGTCATAAGGCACTAAATCAATGAGGTGTCGAATGCGGCTGTAAACTTTTTCCTTCAACTGATCAGTAATAGAATAAGTACCCTTATTTTTTGGCAAAGGGGTCTTCGTGACCCAGCCATGGCAGCTGAAAGACCAAAAATCGTCACACGGGTCAAAACTAGGTTCTGACCTGGCGACCACGGCGGAAGCGGTACGCAGGCACTCGGGAGTCCGACACTCATTACTCACTGGACACTTATAAGTGCCCAATTGGACAGCTAAAATTATCACAATTAGAAATAATATGAATAAGAATATACACAACAGAAGAACAATAACATGGTGCTTATTCGAAGCAAATTGTTTGGCTCGACCCCTTAACTCGTCGAGTCTCGAAGATTTGGGGGCCATCTCCGAGTCCTTTTCATGGTCGTTGTTTTCCATCCACTTGTCGTTTTCTTTGGGTTCTGTTTTCTCTTCGTCGCCACCCCCTTTACTGTTATGCATTTTCAACAAGAAAAAAACGTTCGATCACAGACGATAATCGTCAAGGACAGCACTGGCGGAAATAATTGCGAGTAAAATCCTTTTATGGTGAAATCGGGTTAATAAATGTGAAGTTACACAGGTAATATCGCAAATGATTTGGTGAAATCCATATTGAGTGAAATTGTAGCAAAATGTGACGCTTTCACATTCGGAGAGGTTTTATTTCGCGGCGTCGTAAATTCAGCGTCACGCTATCCACATGCAACAGGTCGCTTCGATTCCGTAGAACTTTTTTTCTCTCACTAAGGAAATGGGATGTAAAAGCCAGTTGAAGCTTCACCCGAATGACTGCGTGGTTGAGGGTTGCCTGACATTCACTCCAAAAATTGATAGACCAGCTATACTTATCGCTTTTTTGGCGATTAGTTTTTACTGAAAATTTTTTAATGTAGGATTTATTTTCAATAATTTATTTTAATTAATTAGGTTTGATTGATTTGTCTTTATCTTGGAAATTGTTAACTCGTAACAGTACGTATTTATTTGTTTTTATTGCAATTCAATCAAATTTTTTAAAAAAAATTTTGCGAGTTTAATTAGCATTTTTGTGCATCTATATTGATTTCAGCAAATAAAAAAAAAATGCTACTTAGGAAAATTGATTTACAGTTTTTTTACAAAAAAAAAAGATTTAATAATTATTTACTAAGACCATGCTTACAATATATCAAGTAACAGATTTTTAAAGTTTTCGATTATTTAAATGTTTAAAAAATTTTGCTAAAATAATTATTTATTCGTTATNCGAGTTTAATTAGCATTTTTGTGCATCTATATTGATTTCAGCAAATAAAAAAAAAATGCTACTTAGGAAAATTGATTTACAGTTTTTTAAAAAAAAAAAAAGATTTAATAATTATTTACTAAGACCATGCTTACAATATATCAAGCAACAGATTTTTAAAGTTTTCGATTATTTATATGTTTAAAAAATTTTGCTAAAATAATTTTTTATTCAAAATATGACTTAATAATAACTTATAACTTTAAATAACTAAATTTTTATTTTTTAAACTAAAATTTAAAAAAAAAAAAGCAATTTTATAAGTAAATTTATTGATTTTTTAAGCAGAAAAATGCTTATTAATTCGGCTTGAATTTAGCGTTTAATTTGGAATGTAACTAAATTTCAAGAACTGAATGTAATGCTTATTCAAGGCTCATAATATCATTGAAACAAATAATGCGCGATGGTTTCATGTTTATTTCGGAAATAATTTGAAAATTAAATGCATATTAATTTCATTTACTTAAAAAAAGCATTTTTATTAACAGGTTTTTCTATCATTATTAATGTCCTTTACGTTTAAATTTAATTACAAATAAATTTTGAATCCGTTAAAATTAATTTTAAAAATGCTCTAAGCAATAAAAGTCTATTCTCATTTCTTTCAATATTGATCCTAATGTTATGAACGCGGGGATACAATGAAATAGGTTATTATTATACGGATTTTCCTTAAAATGCTATTTCATTATTTAAAATGGTAACAAAGTTTTATTATTTTTTTTCTTCATATTTTTTACATATATAAATATTAATAATACATACATAATATATTAATTTAAAGTAATTTGATTGTATACCTAAATGTTTGACATAGTTTCTATGGCAAACCTAGTAATGCAGAATATGTATAGTTTAAAAAACTATCTTTAAAGTGGTAGCGTGATGACTCGAAGGTTAAAGCATTGAAATGTCTTTGTTAAAAGCTGGGGTTGGATCCCTGTAGTTTTTTTTTTTTTCTCCTTAAATCTTATCGACGCAGAGTATGATATTTATAGAACAGTTTCTTTTTTTAAAATGAAAAAAATGGTTCTACATTCGATTTGCGATTTTTGTATTGGCGTGTATTCGCAGGCTTTTCTAAAAATAAAAAAAAAACAGCGCTTCTTATACTTGTTGGTACGACTACTTCTTCAATTTATGACAATTTTTGCACATGATCTGGGTAAAAAGAATAAAGTGGCACCCAAGCTTTTCGTACTATGTATTTAATATAATTATAGACGGTATAGTAATACTTTGACTTATTTTGCGTTTAACTTATTGCCTTATTTAAAATAAAAATTATGCACTCAGGATTTTTGATATGAGTACAATAACATTTAAGTTATATGTAACATTTAAGTAAGTAACAGTGGTGCCAGCATGTTAGATTTGGGGATAAATTATTCCTAGTGGCAACGAAATATATGTTCTTGCGCATGATACATGTGGGGATTGAACAAAATTACGGAGACAATTCTGTTGTAACTCTACGTAAAAAATCTTTATTTTTGAAGAAGTTAAATTAAATTTTCCAAGTTGAGCTTAAAAAGCTTTCTTTTACAATTTTTTAAAATTTTTTTATAATATCTTAAATGATTCAATTTATAAAACAAGTGGAAATAAAAGTCTTGGAATAGTTAAAATGCATTCTTAAAAAAAAAAGAAGGAAATTTCCTTGAAGAGCTATATAGTTTGTGTTATTTATAAGATGAATTTTCTAAGTTAAAGAAAAAAATTCAAAATAATAATAAGAAGACAATTCTGTTGTAACTCTATGCAAACAATCTTTCTTTTTGCAGAAGTTAAATTAAATTTTACAGTGAATTCAAAAATAATTATAGCAAAGTAATAGTAATCTAAATTAAATTGTGTCTAAGTTGAGCTTGAAAAACATTATTTTACATTTTTTTTAAAAATTGTATAATATCTTAAATGATTTAATTTATAAAACAAGTGGAAATAAAAATCTTGAAATCGTTAAGATGAATTCTTAAAAATAAAAAATTTTCCTCGAGAGCTAGACAATTTGTGTTATTTATAAGAAGTATTTTCTAAGTTAAAGAAAAAAATTCAAAATAATAACAATAATAAATATTTGAAATTTCCCTTTGTGAAGGCGAAACTAGAACGTGGCAAAATAGAAATAGGGAATTTTATTCTATTTAAGAAAACTTCGCTAAATATTTATAAAACTAAATAAAGCTGTTTTTAAATCCACGATTTTCCAGTTTGAAGACCCATTTTCTGCGTAGACATTTAAATTTTTATTCCTTTTCTGCATTCTTAGGTCATTTTTAAGTAAATGCACCTGTTTGACGACTGTTAAGTTTTTCAAAAAAACGTGAGGAAATCTCGCCAATCGAGTGGCGAAAATAAGTTTAAACGAAGCCAAATGCTTAGCTATCTAGAACGCATGCGTCAAAGTTTTTCCTATGCCTGCAGTTGTCAGTCGGGGGTCTGGTTTACCTTCAATAATATATTTTTCTCAGAAGTTATGGCGTTGCAAGGAATTAAGAGTTTCGAAATAAATTATCGTGGTTAAACCATAATTTAATGTTTGCTTAATAAAATTGTTTTGAGTTATGAAATTATTGCTGAATTTCCTTTTGCTTCTCTTGAAGTAGTTTTTATTTATTTTTTAATTTTAGCATATTTTGGGTTTGTTAAATATTATTAAGTTACATTAAATATTATTATCTAACCAACATAAATGATAAATTTTGCCTCGTTTTTTTAAGAAGAAAATAATTAATTTTTTGGGAGATTAAAGACTATTTTTACGTTTTTAAAACAAAAATCCTAGAAATCAGTAATAAAAAGGCGAGCATGTCGATATTAAAGAAAAATTTCACTATCGACATGTACAGTAATTATTCATTTATGAATAAATCGATTCTAAACAGTATAACCTACTTGCAATTTTTAAAATATAAAACATATTCGTTGCGTTAATAACTGCAAAAAAAAAAAATTCCTTAGACTATGCATTCAATAATTGCATTGCGTTTGATAACTGGATGCTGGATATTGGGGTTATCTCGGCGTTTGGCGCGAAGCACCACTAACAGATTCATCGATTCTGTTTTGTCGTATTCTAGAAGGTCCTAAATATCTTTGAAGTTGTAGTATGTTGTAACGACAAATCAAGTCCTTAAAGAAGCAAATCTTTAGTTGAAGAGAAAATCATCTTTGGAATGGGGAGATCCCCTTGAGTACAGTTGTATGATAAAGTTAATAGTATTTTGATAGTATGCAGTCTGAGCATAAAAAGGCGGTAATTGGGCTGAAATTCGAATTATCACGGATTATATCAATATCGAACAACTTATTGAAATCTGTTTGCGTTTGATAAGAAATGACCGGTTTATTAATACAGCCAATTTATTGAAAAAAAAACTGGTTTCATCAACATTACATTTCTGTCTCTAACTCAAGAGAAATAATTTATTTCTGACTACTACTATTCATTAACAACTTTATAACAAAAATACCAAGCATATATGCATTATAATTGTTTGTAAATAGTGGTAATTAATGGGATGGCAAAAGGGGATTCCGTGGAAAGTGCACAAAGGTTTTAACCCCATTTGCACTTCAACGTTGACTCTGAGGCCCATTAACAGTTATGACTCTAAAATTAAACATGTTTATAATAAGTTACCACCTTATTTTAAGAATTTTAATAATCAGATAAAAAAATATTGCAATGAGTATGTTAAATGATAATATCAACTAATAAATTAATATCAAATCGAATATAACAAATATTTCGGACATTCACCAAAGCGACTATGAGATTGCTGACATTCTCTGGATTTCGGTCATTCACGGGTACAGTTATATTAGTTCAAACAGCATTTTAAAGTACTCGGAGTGCAAAGGGTTTAAGTTTTAGGTCTTATATAAATATGTTCACAATTTGCTACAAGTGATCTGAAGTTATTGTTAACGTTTACTTTTGCAATATATGTTTGTATGTTTATAATTGATAATGTCCACAATTTCTATAAATGGTTTCGATGTTAAAAATTGCTAAGGTTCAAATTTGGGGACGAACTTTATTTACAAGTTCATGCATGATTCCCGCAAAAAAAGTCGATTACTTAGAAACGCTGGGTTAAAGCATATATTTTGAAATCGCTTTATATAAATTTATTTGTGCCTAGCGTCCTTTTTCAAGGACGGTAATTTTTCAAATCAGAAAAGAACGGTATTAATAGTGTTTCTTTATTAGTTTTTTTTTTTTTTTTTTTTTTTTTTTTTTTTTTTTTTTTTTTTTTTTNTTTTTTTTTTTTTTTTGGAGACCAGATAATTTTTTAGCCATACATCAGCATTAAATAAAATTATATTAACATAACATTTATTAGATTACACAAGTTTACATTAACATACCAAAATATAATGCACCATTATATATTAACATTATATAACATATTAAAATTATTTTTATTATCTTTCACAACATTAAATTAACCCTATATTAACATACCATAATATATTAACTTAATATTAACACTCAATTTACTACATTACATTACATTATGACAATATATCGCAATATATTAACTTTCATGTTTGAGCAGCATAGCACGTTTTTAAAATTAAGGAGGTAGAAGAAAGAAAAGAAAAATTCACTTAATATAAATAAATATGTACTACAATTGCATACCTGCCAACTTTTAATCCCTTTCATTATCATTTTTCCGAGTGGTTTTAAAATGGAATTAAAACTTCAATTTTAAGCAAACAAATACGTTGTATTTGAGAAAACTTAAGTTGACAACCATGATAGTAACGCATATTAATATATGTGCTTAATTTTTGTAAGAATAGTGGTTTTCAATATCATTTAAAAATTAAGATTATAAAAGAAAATATAGTATATAATTACTTCCACTTTAAATATAAAAATAAAATCTTCCGGAAAATCCGGAAGAGTTGGCAGGTATGCAATTGTCTTTAAAAAGATTTTTTTTTCTTTATACGTAAACCCACGTTTGGGACTGCGTACTAATGCGCTGATAAAACTAAATTAAAACATATTAACATATATTTTGCTACCACTAGAAAAATACAGAAAGTTTGGAAAAGCCTCGGAAGACGGAAATGATCTCAGAATTATTTTCATGAACCATGCCAACAGTATTGGCATTACTTTGAATATGTGAAGTGTTGCAGACTTAGTGTAGTACTTGAAATGGATTGAATTATATTAAATAGATTGATCTTTAAAATTAAAAGTGGTATATAATGCAATTTTTTTTTCTTATTTCGGTAATTTTTATATTTCTAAGAAAAATAGACATGTACAGAAAAAATACCTAATTTAAGTTATAAATGTACCTACATTTCACTGTCGGCTAAATAAAGTTCATAGTTAAATAATTGGAAAAAAATTTAAGTATGAAAAATGAGCGACCATTCACACATAATATTTTTAGCACTGATAGTGCGTGTTCCTACAAATGAAAAGCATGGCTAATAAAATTATAAAAATTTATTAAGAGAAATTAAAGTAAATAACACTCAGTAGCAATTTTTGTTTAGTTTAAAGTGATTTCAAAAAAGATTTTCGTTTTAAAATTGAATCATTGAAAATATAAATAGCTACATGCTGGTAGTTACAAATGAGTAATTACATTGGGAAAGTATATATTTCTAATCGATTTTCATCGATTTCTTACTTTTTATACGTACTTATCATGACTGCCATGATATATTTAATAAAACCACTTTTATTTCAATCTTAAATCACGCAACAAATTGCGAACAATTTAAAAATGCTATTATTGAGATGGTCATGAGATTTAGCAAATGGTAATAAATTTACATAAACCACCAAACGAGATCAAGCAAATTTATTAAAAGCAAGAAAAGTTTACGCAATACATTTAAGTTTGTCATTAACTGCGGATAGTCACCATTTTTTGGGAAACAAATTTTTAACTTTTTCTTTTCGCGTAGCATAAAATTTAATTTTTTACATCATAGAACCTGATTGTCTAATTTTCGCTTAGGCTTTGGAATTGTAGAATTTTCAACTTTTGAAATATTATTTAAAAAAAATATTATTTAAAAAATATATTTTTTTACAAAAATTAACCTTAAAAAAATTTTTTTTAAGTTACTTTCAATCGAGAAAAATAATTTTCATTGTATGAAGCTCATTTTTCATTTAATAATTATGTAATAAAAATATACAATTTTTGACTATTGAAAGAAATATATATATTTTCTTTCTTCTTTGTCTTGTAGTCAAAATATCACTTCTATCTACATAACAACAAAATGCGGGTTTGCTATTATAAAGCTTCGGGTCATGAATATCAGAGTATTATTTTTTTTTTAATTCAAGATGGAGTGATATGAATCAGGGCTAAAGAGAATAGAAGGGCTAGTTCACTCCGCTCTTAGAGCTGAAGCTACGATTTCCCTCCTCATGACGTCACTGTGCCCACANCATGAATATCAGAGTATTATTTTTTTTTAAATTCAAGATGGAGTGATATGAATGCTTCAACTTTAAAATTTGTAAGTAAAATTGATTAAAACGAATGGCGTTTTCAATGAGATAGCTCAGGTATTATTTTTTTATTGTCCACCGCGATACTAATGCAGCATATAATAATTTCCGTAGTATGTCATTGTTATTATTTTTTTTAAACAATGACTACAAAATGTTGTTGATTTACTCTGAGATTTTTCGTTGTTACCATAAACCACAACATTACCGAAACACATACATTGTTAAAATGAAACAATAGCAATATCTCCGGGGGAAAAAACTCACGTAAAAACATCTACAATAGCATGGAATTTTAACTTAAATATTTTTTTTTACAATTTAATACATGCAATAGCCCTTGTTTTAGCCTCAAAAATCCTGAAACAATATCCCTACACATACCTGAATCGAAAACAGATGTAAGTTGTTTTTATAAATATGTCAACTGAACAAAAATTAGGCAATACTTCGGGGGATAAAAATGATCCAGATGAAGAATCTCAAAATAGTATAAATGATACAGATGTAGCATCTCAAAATGGTGTAAATTACAAATCACCAAAGATTGTGGTTGAGCAAGCCCATGAAGAAAATACACAAGATAGCAGCCAATTACCTTTCAATGTTTCACGCCGTCATTCAGCTGCATTGCAAGAGTTGGACAAAGTCCATTCTTGGTTGTCCGAAGTGGATGCAAAAAGTGAAAATCTGGTGACGGCATTTTTGTCGAAAACCCAGTATGTCGCCCTGAGTAATCACTTCCAGAATTTCCTAGAGCATTTAAAGTCCAGGCAGGAAGAAATGCCCGAGGTGTACGCCGAGTTTGCAAACCTTTTTGAAAAGTTCCGGACATGCTTCGTGGGCAGTCAGCAATTGCAGGACAAAGTGTATGAGCTGATATCAGCAAAAGCTGTCGTAGACTTGAAGAATCTGAAATTGAAGAATGAAGTGAAAGAGAAGCGTAAAGATATTGAAGATTTGAATGAATCCCTGGAGTCCATGAGGTTGGAAGCAATTGAAATTGACAAAGAAAAAATGGAGTTGCAGCAAGAGATAAACAGCTTAAAAGATAATTTAAGCAATCGACTGAATGAAGAAGTAAGCTTTTTACCTCTATGTTAAAATATAAACTATTGACTGAAATGGGTTAAAAAGGGTTTCAGGATACTGAATTAGGTTAATAGGAGCGATAATTTATACTCGAAATAAAATAAAGTATTACGACAATTGATTTAATATAAATTGATTCGACAGGATTAAAGCATTTTCAAATTGTATAAGAGCTATCATTAAGAGCGATTGATGAATACAGACTGTTAAATATGGCATTTTATCAAGAGAAAATTGTTCGAAACATGTAAATAATCTATAGGAAAACAAAACTAAGAAACAGTTTAATTTAAAGATGGCACATTTGATGTAAGTTTGGCTAATCGCTACTCTTACAGAGATGCCAACTGCCCCGGACACGCCTAAATAATTTAAAAAACGGTAAATAACTACAAATTAAAATTTGCAAATATTTGAGTAATTTTGCTTGCTTTTTCACAGGTTTAACATGATTATTAAACAAAGAATCATAATTAATGAACTACCAGTCAATATTATTTATTCGCTTTCCGGAGCAAGTTGGCATCTCTGCTCTTAGCCCTTATTCCTACAGGCAGATTCAATCCGGGTTTTTTGGATTATATATTATATTATAAATATAATTTCGACAATCTAACAGATTTTTTTAGTAACTATTTGTCTGTTTTGTTAACTAATAATACCCAAAACATATTTTTGCTAAAGCATCAGAAAAAAATATATATAAAATGGACACCGGTGTTTCATCTGAGTCAAAAGGTTAAAGTAAGCGAGTTGTTTAAGCTAAATGCATCACTATTAGGGTCAGAATTTGATCTTGAAATAATGTTGGTTCTTTTTGCGTGTATTTTCTTGTTTCGAAAAAAATTAAAGATTTCTATAAATGATGTCACGGCCAAATGATAGCCCCAAACTTACGAAACTAAAAGCTTTAAACTTTCCAAATGATACTAAAATGCTGAATTTTTTAATACTTTTAAAGCTTTTTTTATTAAAAAAAATAATAATATCTAAGAAATAATAATATGAACTTAAAATCAACATAAAATCTTTTGTATAATATTTCAGCAGAGCAATCAGCGCCAATCTTTTTAAAGGAATGGCGTGCAACCGAATAAAAAAGGGTTAACTTTGAGATGCTTATAATGTATAATGAAGCACTGACTAACTGATAGTTTCAATAATGTATAATGAAACAAGTCTTGTTACATAAAACAGGCATACAATATTTCCGGTTCTTTAATGAATTACGACTTGTCACATAAAGCAGACATACAATCATTACGATAATACATATAATGATGCATGAATTGTCACATAAAATAGATAAACGATCGTTTTTCTACTACAACTACATGTAATGAAGCACGATTTGTCATATAAAATAGCTATTCGTTTTTTTCTGTGCAATGGTGAATCACGACTTGTCACATAAAACTAACATACGTTTCAGCGCTAAAGTGAAGAGCGACTTGTAACAAATAATAGAAATACGAGCTTTTTTGTACCATAATAAAGTAGCTTCACGTTGTTGTTCTTGTATTTTGACACTAAAAAAGGTGCTTCATTTTATTGAAACGATCGTATGCCTGTTTTATACTTGTGTTTTAATACATTTATTAAATTCTATTCATAATGGCATGTGCTCAGAGTTTATAACGAAAATTTTATGTTAGTCACTTCGTGACTTACAAACATAATAAATGAGAATTTTCCCAAGTGATTTATGTTTAAATGCGTTATATTTATAAAAGAAAACTCCAAGCTCCAAAATTTCATAGTATTACAGCTGTAGCCAAACATTTTTTCAACAGTGTGAGTATGATTTTATAGATATCGAATTTATTTGACGTATACTTCACCAAATTTACCTATGAAAATAGTATGCTCTCATTCACCGAACCTTATTGTATGGCAAGTAATTTATCACTATATTGACAATACCACTTATTTTTTTAACAGTAATACGTATAAACATATTTAGATAATAATTTAAGAAAAAAAATTAAAATTTGCTTACAAGAAATATTTTATTATTAACAAATAAAAAATTAATATTTGCTATAAGTATACTATTTTTTATTATTATAAACTATTTTTTTTAAAATAAAATTGATAGAGTTATGGCATACAGTAAGTTACATTTCAAATAAGAATCAAGAGTGAGTGTTTTCAAGAGCATTTTTGGTGAAAAGCACCATGATATTTAGTATGTAGGCAATAGTAGCGTGTAAGAAATGGTAGCATGTAGGCAATGATAGCGTGTAAGAAACGGTAGCATGTAGGCTATGATAGCGTGTAAGAAATGGTAGCATTTAGGCAATGATAGCGTGTAAGAAATGGTAGCATGTAAGCAATAGTAGCGTGTAAGAAATGGTAGCATGTAGGCAATGGTAGCGTGTAAGAAATAGTAGCATGTAGGCAATAGTAGCGTGTAAGAAATGGTAGCATGTAGGTAATGGTAGCGTGTAAGAAATAGTAGCATGTAGGCAATGATAGCGTGTAAGAAATGGTAGTATGTAGGCAATGGTAGCGTGTAAGAAATGGTAGCATGTAGGCAATGATAGCGTGTAAGAAGTAGTAGCATGTAGGCAATGATAGCATGCAGGCAATGGTAGCGTGTAAGAAATGGTAGCATGTAGGCAATGATAGCGTGTAAGAAATGGTAGCATGTAGGCAATAGTAGCGTGTAAGAAATGGTAGCATGTAGGTAATGGTAGCGTGTAAGAAATGGTAGTAAGTAGGCAATGGTTACATGCTGGCAATCATATGTTTCATTACATTGTGCTGTCATCCAATGGAAATTTCGGAAACTTTTAAAGCACCTATCTTAAAACTATTCAAGGCTTCATTTTATGTATAAATATAACGCATTTTCACAAAAAAAATATAGTGACAACAGACACAACACGGGGCAGTAATATAGTGACAACACTCTTTTTTTTTATTAAACAAAATCATTTTAATGTAATATAAAAGAGTGTGCTGTCACTATAGTACCCTTACATATTTAATTGCGTAAGGATGTTTTTTTCTGTTACTAAATTCTTTAAAAGTGATCGAATAAAACTGGCACTTTGTTGTTTTATCTGTCCATTGTTTATCTATACAGGGTTGGTCCTAAAATATACGTAAAAAATGTAAAGGTAGGTAGAGGGGACATAAATAAGCATATTTCGGATAGGAATGTGTGTGCGGTAATGGCACATTAAAGCAGTAGCTTGTAAAGCAGTATAAATCAGAGGAAACTGAAAAAACAAGTAAAGACAAAAGAAAATAAAAATTTATCAACAGTTTACAAGAGGTGCTCGAAAGAGCAGCCACCAACATCGATACAAGATTCACAGCGACGGCGCGTGGATCGGCGTACATTAGAAAAGACGTTAGGCATGTCGAGCTCATGTAAAGCAGCAACAGACAAGCGGGCAACAAGATCTTCTTGATGCGACTCTCGTACACCAGGCTTTTAATATGACCCCAAAGGAAAAAATCCAAGCAGGTTAAATCAGGAGACCGCGGTGGGCAGGGAACTGGACCACCCCGTCCTATCCAATGCTGGCCGTAGACAGCGTCCAGGTGATTTCTGACGCTCCCTGTACATCCTCTGAGCAACTAATTCGTTTCCTTGTGCAGCCCCATACATGAAATGAACGTCAGCAAGCTCCACATTGGTGAAACGATGCATGCTGTTTGAGATCCGTGCGGGAATCCAGCTAGCAAGCGCTTTTATATGCCTCAGTCATCAGCGCTCCCTACCGGCTCAAGGCGGCATTACCGCACACACAATCCTATGCGAAATATGCTTATTTAAGTCCCCTCTACCTACCTTTACATTTTTGACACATATTTTAGGACCACCCTGTATAGTTTGTCTAAAGTAAGAACTCCCCTAACCATTCTTCTGGACTCATGGAGATGGTAACGAATTATAACTATTTCAAGTAGGGGTGTGGGATCACTATTTAGGATAGGTTTTGGCTCAGGTCGACGATAGAAAGAGAATTTTTTTATTCGATCCCTAAAGTGGAGAAAAGCTACCCTCCCTGAAACGCTCTATTCTTGTTTCCATAGCAGCAGACGGCCTCAGACTTTGTGGTCGTGGGAGTTCTTACCGTAGACAAACTATAAATGTTTATTTAACAGTTGCAGTACTCTGACGATGGAGTAGACACGGGAACCACTCTCTTAGAAGAGGAGACCGAAGAAGAGAAAAAAATCAATCGATTGGAAAATGAGTTGATGACATTGCAAGAAGATTATTCTAATGTTTCAAAGAGGGAGGGGATTTACAAGAAAAAGATCCATGACATGGAAACTGAGATTGATGAACTTGAAAAAGAACTAACGAACACCAAGTCAGGATACCAGAGAAATGTTGCCTCCTTAGAAAAATCCCAGGAAGAGATCAAAGAACTTCAGGGTTTGGTTGATCAAGAGAAAGAAACCAGTCAAGAACTTCGTGAAGAAAACCACCAATTGAACAAGCAGATCAATGAAGAAAGATCCAATTACGAACGGTAAATAAGAAATATTCTTTCCCATAATCATACAATTAATTAATTCTAATATGTGTTTTTTTTTAATAATCCCCAAATTCGTGGGTTTTGTTCATACTCAGTTGCTCCTGAGACTTAATTCTCGATTAATTGGTTTCCTACGTCAGATTCTCTAAGATTCCGTACTAAAACTTTTCCGTACTGTGAAGCTATCACGAGAACACCTTTCAAATAAATCAAATTGAAATCTCATCTCAACTTCAAGGTGCTTCTTCCATTAGATGTTTCTTCTCCATTATTTTCAGCAGTCTTAAGTGCTAGTCTCAAATGATGGACGCAAATTCACTTGTTCATACATGTCATAGCATGTTCTGTGTCGCGCTCGACATATCATTCTCGTTTTTACGAAAATCAATTTAATATTTTGGTACAATAATCTTAAAAAAATAAATTATTGAAAAATGCAAAATTTTTCTTTTTACTGTTTTCCTAAAGTGATAGTATATTTAATATGAGAAAAAAATTAAAATAATAATAAATTTAATTGTAGGTTACCACTTTTTAAAAAAGAACTAAAATTATATAAAATTAAATATTTGAATTATTAGCGTTATACTCAGATATTAACTCAAAATGTTTTTTACTCATTGCTTTTAATTAATTCTCATGCTATATGGGTTAGGGGACGCTGCGCTGCGCTGCCCAGGCACCCAATTTTTGCTAAATAAAGGAAGATATGTCATGCTAAACCTTTTATAAACTAGCAAAATCTGTCTATATTTGCACATTTAGTTTGTAGTTATTTACCGTGTGGCCAGACGAGCAAGCCATGTAAAATCAGCGTGGCAACGTGTTAAATTAATTTAATGTGGCGTTAAATTTACTTGAAGGTATGTCACAAAAAAAATGCTATCTGCTCCTTACTCTGATCGAACTATTTATCATAGTTAATGATGGATGGACAAGTGGTTTTGGAGATCACAGTTTAAAGTGAAAAGGTCTTAGGTTTAGTTAAACTGTTAATATGTTAATTATAACTAGCACAACTACCTTTACTGTTTTTTTTCCAGCCTCTACGGGGAATTGAGTTTGTCTGAAAAATCGTTGGAAGACAAACGCGAATCTCTTGAAAAATGTCGAAAGGACTTAAACAGAAGGGGAGATCGCATAAGGATGTTAGAAACGGAAAAGGAGTCGCTGTTGTTAGATCTCGACGAGAAGCAGTTTGAAATAAAATCTCTGAAAGTATGGTTTAACATTTCTTTTCCTTATTTTTTTTATGGGGTCATTAATTGGAAGCAACAGATCTGAGGGTAAATTCATATTACGTTACTTTTTTTTCCACCTAAATGCAGCTTTTAAACGAAAATTTCTCATCCATTCATCTTTGTTTTTAATATTTTATAACCAACCCAATTTTGAGTTTACGACAACCAATGTTTAACTCCATAGCTTTGCAGTTTTGATCCCAATTCAGAAGACAAGGGTGCATGTGGATAAAGCATTGGGAGAAATTTGCCTCTGTGGAAGACTTTCTGATGGAACTAACCAGCATTTGCGTTACGTGAAGAGGGAAATTATGAAAACCTCCCATGTTTTTACCCATGATCCGTCTACACTGAGGATATTTTACGTCAGCACAGTGGTCGGTGCAAGCCGGATGCACTACTCGTATCTCCCAGCCATTGCTGGGTTTCGAATCCGCGTCATCTCATTGGGAGGCGAGCACTCTCTCCCCTGAGCCACCACGGCTCAAAAGTGTTATTCGTCTTCTGCGGCGGGGAATCGAACCCCAATCTCCCACAAAAGAAATACTTTAAATTAAAAAATAAATAAAAAACTCATTGACATTACTTTCAAAGTTTAAATCCATAAACTTCTTTCTATTTACTTGTTAATTCATTGGTTAATTTATTGTTTTTGCTCTTTTTACTGTTCTTAAACGGATCTGCCCATAAAAGATGTCGCGCTTAGAAGGAAGGGGTTTCATTAATTAAGCGTGACGTGAAGAAGAATGTAAGAAGAAGGATGGCAAAGGACAGGGGGTCAAAATATTTAAAAAGTGTAATAGCCCCTACAGGTTGAACTCCTGTTTTACGTTGTTTTAGGTACAGAGCGCAGTAGGTGACTTTGTTTATGAGTCTAAACTATATCTATAGTTTGTCTAAAGTAAGAACTCCACTAGCCATTCGTCTGGATCATGGAGGTCACTATGGTAGCGAGGCATAACTATTTCAAGTAGAGATGTGGGGTCATTGTTTAAGACAGGTTTTGACTCGATTCGGCGAGCGAAAGGGAATCTTTTTGCTTGGTCTACTGTGTTAGCCCTAGAGTGAAGAGCAGCTACCCTCCCTGAAATGCGCTATTCTTGTTTCCATAGCAGCAGACAGCCACAGACTTTGTGGCGGGGGAGTTCTTACAGTAGACAAACTGTAGTAGGGGTGAATATTAAAAGTGTATATCAGGTTTTGACACGGCAGTCGGTGAAGGAAGCATCGAAGTCTCTCTGCTTTTAAAATGCGTTTGTTTCTAGTGAAGAAGACAAGTCCATTTCCTAGGACGGTGAGAGCTCTTCTATTAGACAGGAATAATTTACGGGTCAAGTTTTTGAAGAAAACGAAATTAAAATACACACATCCGAAAATTTTTTTTTATCGCTGCTAAATATCTACAAAAAAATTAATTATTTATATCTCTTTCTTCTTAATGATTCATGACATCGATAATGATTCATGAAAATTTTCTCTACTTGACTAAAATATGACTTGAGCCTTTAGAAATTAATAATTAATAAGGGGGCATATTGGGCCGGGGGGAAACTATATGATCCCTTCCAATCACACTTATGAACTAATGCAACAAGTTCAATATTTTGCTTATTCCATGCAATTTTCCATATGTGGTGTGACCCCATTCCTACGGAATTCTTGATCCAAGACTTTAGAAACCCGTCTCAGTCAAAAGATAGAAGTGCATTGACATGGCTAAGAATTGTATCTAACTGATGTTAAATCCGTTTTTTTTAATAACTAGTATTCTGCCTTACAAGCGCATTTACGTCGTTCATTTCTGTACAAAGGCCTCCCTGGCCGAGCGGTATCTCTAGCCAAACCCTCTATTAAGCGTGGACGTGGCGGGTTCGAACCCATGATGTATTCTTTGTGATTTCCGTCTCTGTATTGTGCTATCTGTCCTTCTACTTGACAAAGGCTTATAAGCCTTAATTGAGCACACAAGCCAGCAAATGTATGTTGTATCAATAAACCAATATTTATGTACACTTAATTAAATTAGGAATATTACAATTTGTTTTCCCAATGTCAATTTAAAATTTGAGTTTTTTTTCCAGGCTGAACAAGCAGATATTGTGAAGGAAAAGAAGACATGTTTGAGAAAAATTGCTCAGCTCGAGAAAAATGTTTCAGATCTAGAGTTGAAAAATGAAAGCCTCCTGGAGAAAGGCATTATTCAACAGAAAGAGCTAGACGCATTGACAAAGGAGTTCAGTTATTATGACAACGAAATTAAAGAGCTAACTAAGCAAAAGAATAGCTACCTGCAAGAACTTCGAAAACTCGATAAGGTTTAAAATTAGTCTTTATTTTTAAAACATATAACTTTTAACACCAGTCAAAAATGTTTCAGTTGAGCATACTTATCTCCGTTTATAATTATCGTAAATATAATTATCGTATATAATTATCGTATTGCTTGAACTTAAAACCTTTATTCATTTAAATTTCAATTGAAATATTCGGTATCGGCAAACTTTTCATTGGGGGTAGGCAGTAAAAAACAATCTACCCGGCTCCGATTGGTTGGGTTAGTCCATTAAAGCCCTGTCAAATAAGCAGTTTCTATTAAAGCTCCTTGGTAAGTGTTAGTTCTAACCCGACTTCAGCATTTTTGAGGAATGAAGTCTAGTTATTATCACGAAGTTTGTCTAATCATAAGCAAGTAATTAAATAATAGTTATTAATTAATAAATAATAATTAATTAATAACAAATAATAATCAATTATTAATAATTAATTAATTAATTAATTAATAGTAAATTAATAATTTAATTAATTAATAATTAGTAATACTTAANTAATTAATAATTAATTAATTAATTAATAATAAATTAATAATTAATTAATTAATTAATAATAAATAATTAATTAATAATAGATAATTAATCAATTAATAACAAATAATCGATTAATAATAAATGATTAATTAATTAACTTATTATAAATTTTAGGTTATCGCCAATCTACAAAGTGATTTCGAAATATGTAAAAGAAAAGAAACGTTGCTAATCAATGACATAGGCTTAGCCAATCAATCAATTCAAAAATTGAAGAACACTGTCGAACGACAAGAGCTTGAGCAAGAACGTTCGTATGCTCAAATCATGGAGCAGAAGAAATCAATCGAGGAGTTGAAAATTGAAAAGGATCGCCTAAACAAGGTGGTCTCAGATTCCGAAAAGATTGTAAGTCAGTTGAAAGAAGTTATTAAAGAGAAAGATGTGCTGCACAAGGAACAGGTTGAGGAAACACGATTCTTTCGTAAGTCATTATTGGAAGCTAAGCATGAAATCGAACAACAGAACTTGAAGTTAAATATGCTGGATAAGCTTTCAGTCCAGCTCAAAAACTACAATAAGACCTTGGACAACAAACTGAAGGGATTGATCCAGGATAAAAAAGCAATTAAAGAACAACTAGGATTTGCTAAAGAGTCTCTAAAACAAGCGAATAAAAATGGCGCAGACTTGACGTTAGAGATCAAATATAAAGAAAATGAGAAGTTACAATTGCTGCAGGACATTGCTAGTTTAGAAAGGGATAAAAGCAATCAAGAAGGAGCACTGAAAAGCATCCGCAATGAAAAGGACGCGTTGGTTGTGAAGCTGCAGAAAAAGGACGAAGAAATATTTGAAGAGAAGGAGAAGGTGAAGTTGCTGGAGACAGATTTGTCAAAGTTAGAAGTCGCACTCAACGAGAGGATTGAGGACATAAAACTTCTGAAAGTTCAATTGTCTGAAATGAACCGAAACAAGGCTCTAATGGAGCACAAGGTTGAGAAAATGGAAGCGACTCGCCAAGAGTTGGTGACAGCTGAAAGAGATCTGCAAGAACAGAAATTTAAAGTGAAGAGTTTGGAAGAAGCGATTCAGACGCCTACGAATCTCCACAGGTATTACTTTTTTAAAAACGTTATGGATAAGTTATTCAATCACATTATCACTCATGTTTTGAAACAGGATAAAAATATTAACTAGTGATGTCTTTTCTATTTTGTAAATTGAACAAACGCAAAGCTCTCTCTTTCTCTTTATTTAACTAAAACTGGGTGCCTGGGCCGCGCAGCGGCCCCTAACCCATTCATCATGAAGTATTTACAAGTTGAATTAAAAAACATTTTGAATTATGCAGCATTTAGGTAGCATTACAGAAGATCAAGCATATTTGCTTGATAAATTAAACATGATTTGATATTTAATATAAGTCATGATTTATGCAATAATCAGAAATTTTCGTGAATATAAAAAGCACAATTGATATTTAAGCATTGATTGGTATTAAATTTGATGCAATCATAGGTTGTGATTAAAATATGAATTAAATTAATGTGTAAACAATTACAATTGATATTTTAGCATTGAATGGAATTTAAATTTGATGCATTCATAAGTTATGATAAATTATGAGTAAAATTAGAATATATGCAAATGCGATTGACAATTTAGCATTGAATAAAGTTAGAATTGTGTAATTTTAAGTTGTAAAACAAATATAACATGATATGTGATAAATTTACAGAAGTTTTGTTTAATATTGGTGTCGCCATCTATCGGACACAGTTTGCTATTTAATTGAGCTGTTTTACTTTTTTCATTGAAGAAGAGTTTGATAATCTACATATTACACTAATGCAAGAGTTCAGAATGAATAGTCCGGAATTGGGCATGACTATGACATTATGGAGCATTATCTCTAATGATTCTTTGCAGTAAGAACAAACGCAAAGCAACGAGCTCCATTTAACTAAGTAAAAATAAAAAATTGCAGCTAAATGACGAAACAGTAACTAGCCTTGAATAAATTTTCATAGCAGTTTTGAGATTACGCATACGTAATTTTAATACAATATGTTGGCAATAGTCTCCCAAAAACTGAAATCAAGACTAAAAACTTAAACTAAGACACTTAACCCCTTGGGGCGGGTGATTCAGAAAAGCATTCATACTAAATCAGAATCAGGATGCAATTAAATAAAAACGCTAACTTAAATGTAGTCGTTTCTAAATTTGACAGACTTACTTTGCTTTTACTTTAACCCCTTGGGGACGGGTGATTCATAAAAGCATTCGTACAAAATCAGAATCAAGTTGTAAATAAATAAAAAACGGTAACTTAAATGTAGTCGTTTCTAATTTGACAGACTTACTTTAGCTTTTACTTTAGTTATTGTTAGTTTAATCATATATATAATCAATGTTAATTCAAAGTATAACTAAATAGTTTTATTTTGAACAAAGTATTGGTGAATTAAATAAATCTGCTGACACATATTTGTGACAGTCGGCGCGAAAGCATACCTGCCAACTTTTAATCCCTTCCATTATGGTTCTTCCCAGTGGTATTAAAATGGAATTGAAATTTTCATTTTAAGCAAAAAAATACGTCGTATTTGAGAAAGCTTAAGCTGACAATCATGATTGTAACGCATATTAATATATATGCTTAATTTTCTTAAGAATAGTGGTGATTAAAATCGTTTAAAAATTAAGTTTAGAAAAGAGAAAAATAGCATAGATTTACTACCACTTTTAATATAAAAATAAAATTTTACGCCAAATGCGTAAAAGTTGGCAGGTATGCGAAAGGGTTAAGAAATTCTGCTTATTTATTTATTAATTTTTTTTGAGCTACCACTTTCTAAATTTATATAGAATGAATATAAATTATAAATAAGCTTACGAATAGTGTTCATTAACACCTTTTCTCTTTCATTTTGGGCAATACCCTTCTCTCTGCACCGGCGAAGCTCGGGGTTTTATACCGGAGGAGGAGAGGTAGAGCTCTTAATTAATTGTATTTTAATTCATTTTGTTATTCTCCCATACCGAGGCGTGTAAACGATTATTTTCTCTTACTCTTGATTCGGCAATTCTCAACTTCAATCAGATGAAATTCGCAAATATGAATGTGTTGCTTGTTAATTAACACGTTGAATGCCATGGAGATCACCGGTGACCAGCACTGGGTTTGTTCGTAGCTCCTCGGGGGTCACCGGTGACCGGTGAAGCCAAGATTATTAGAAATACATAATTCGAGTAAATTTTTAATCCTTTTAATTTTTTTATATTATTATCGTTGCTAAAATGGTTTGAAGAAATTAATGAAATATAGAACACACAAAAATAGTTTTATTTAAATACAGAGATGCCAACTTGCTCCGGACAGCGAATAAATATTTTCATGTGGTAGTTTATTAATTGTGATTCCTAGTTTAATAAATTCAATTTTGTAGATTTTTATTCACCACTATTTCTAAACAACTCGTAGGCTTATATAATTCACAACTATTAACTGGTATGTCACGCTAAACCGTTTAAAAAATTAGCGGAATTCGTCTGAAATTTCCAAATTTAGTTTAAAGTTATTTAGCGTTTGGCCAGACGGGCTAGCCGTGTATAATTAGCGTGGCGTTCAACCTGTTAACAATGGCATCTGAAAATCACTTCCAAACGAGAGCTAGCGACAACTGTTTGTGGCTCGTATTTCAGTGAAGTTAGGGGAGTTACTTCATTGTATAATTGATAGACATCATAACTGAAAAGGTTTCTGAGAATACATAATAAGTATAGCTCTGAAGCTGGGCACTTGGAACCTCTTGCCGCCTTTTTCCCATTCATCATGGACTTCTAGTGGATGATGAGTAATTGTGATTGCTGAACATTTACTTGTAATTTCCGTTTTAAACATCTGTCTTCATTTTATTTTATAACCGACGTTGAACAACCTCCCACGCTTAGCCTGACGGCAAGGGGACTCTAACACATGATCCGTAAACCACTGAAGATATTTTACATCAGCACTGTGGTCGGGGAAAATCGGATGCGGAATTCGTATTCTCCAGTAATCGCTGGGATTCGAAGTTCGAACCTGATTCATCTCATTGGAAGGCGAATGCTCCTTCCCCTGAGTCATCATAACTCACACCTGTCTTTATTGCCGTAAATTTTTTTCTGTAGTTTTTGGAAGGCAAAGTTATGTCTCTTTGATTTGACCCAATTGTATCATTGTCATCAGCATAATAAGCGGTAACACTCTTCTGTATCTGCAAAAATATATCTTCTGTATGTACAGAAAGTCGTATGTGAATAGGATGTTAAATATGATGATCTCGAGGTTTTAAGCCATTACAAACGTCTTTAACATAATATATTTCATATCAAAAACAAGGAAGATGTTCATGGTACAGTGCCACAGAAGAAGCCATTTGTTGGGTTTTAGAAATTATTATTATTAACATTGAGAAATATTATTAACACCTTCCCCCGATGAACTCTTAGTACATTACAAATTAAACATTTCAAAATATTAATCAAAATTGTATTTCTCAAATGTAAGGTACCAATATTTTAAAAATAGGATATAGAGGATAGAGTCTAAAATAATTCATTGACGAACTCCCGCTAAAAATCTAGGGTCGAAATGATATTACACTTGCAGTTTTTGTAATAGTTACTATTTGATAGATTATGTTGAATAATTTTTATTACTCCTGGTGGAAAATTTAGCTGATTCAATTTGTATATTATTTCTGTGTGCCATACTGTGTGAAAGGACTTTGAGAATAAGGGTAATGTTTACGAAGCAATCTGTTCATCCTTTCAAATTGTTAATAACATCGTGATTGTGAAAGAATTTAAAACACAATATATTAATTGTTTAAAGCAGAAATTTTACCGCTGCTAAAAATATAAATAAGCTTGTTAGCATAGAAATTGGCAGGTATAGTATCCACATAATAATTCAGCATCACCAGAATAATAATTCATAATTCATCATTGTTTTTAGATGGCGTAGTTTGGAAGGCACAGATCCTGAAAAAGCACAACTGGTGACAAAATGTCTTGAGCTGCAACGCCAACTCTTGAAGAAAACGACTGAATTAAAGAGCAAAGACCACGAGATCCATAGCAAGGAAGAAGAGTTGCTGAAGCTGCATGAGATGATAAGGCGAAGAACAGAATCTGGCATGGACAGCGACTTGTGGGAGTGCAGGCGTGAACTCAAATCACGGATGGACAGATTGAAATGCCTGACAGCTGAAAATAATATGTACGAATCTACGCTAGAGAAATACAGAAAGGAGATTATGGTACTGAAAGATGAAATCCGACGATATAAATTGGCAGATTTCAATTCAAGGAAAAGGAAGAATTCTAAAACTAAAAAGAGGAAGAGCAAACGTTGATTTCAATGTGGGACAGATAACTTACAGAGTAACCATTTACAATAAAAATTTTTAAAAAAAACAGTAATATTTGTTTAGTAGTTGTATATTCGCTAACATTAGGCCATCTAATGTTTAAAAGTTGAATGGTTAAAATAGTTTAAGGGTTATTTGTTTTTCGATGATGTTGTGAAAATGAAAAAGCGCATTTCATGTTAACAAAAAAAAAAGCACTGTGTGAAAAAAGAGGAAAGACATTTAGAGACTAATCCGATGTTATTTTAAACTGGGTATATATATATATATATATACCCAGATTAANCATAGCTATATATATATACCTACTTCAATTTTCAGTTGCCAATTTTTCCTAAATATTTTAAAATAAAAGCATAGCCGTGGATTGCTCTTCTCCTGACGATGCAACCAGGATTCGAATACCAGCCATGACTGGTCGATACGCACCCAGCTCGCACCGACCATGGTGCTGACGAATAATATCCTCAGAGGTAGGCGGATCATGGGTTAGAGTCCACTTACCGTCAGGTTTTCTGCAACGCCTCCTATAACTGAAAGCCTCCACACAGTTTTTCATAGGTAGTCCGATCAGACCACTGTGAGGGATATCTTCTTACTGAACGAGTCATTTAATACAGAATATAGTTAAAATAAGAAAGTGGTAGTAAATATATGACAAAAAATTTATTTTATTTATGTATACTGGTTTGCCTTATTCATTTCTCAACCTACACATATTCAATTTTCAAATATATAAGATAAACTTCTCTCAATTACTTTTATAAAAGGTTTTGGGTTTATGCGTACAACTGGTTCACTTTTTAAACAGTCTGCGCGGTCTACTTATATAAGACCGTGTGTAGGCTTCTCGATGTAGGAGGTGATGGTTAGTTCCATCAAAAATTCTTCCACGAAATCAAATTTCTCCCAATACTTGATCCCGGATTTCCCTTGTCTTCTGTATCGTGTTGAGAATTACAAAGCTACGGAGTTGAAAATTGGTAATCGTAAGCTCAAAAATTGGATCATCTGTTCAACGACGGTGGTAAAATAAAAGCAACAATTGTGTTTAACCCCTTAGGGACGGGTGAATCATAAAAGCATTCGTACAAAATCAGAATGTAAATAAATAAAAAACGGTAACTTAAATGTAGTAGTTGCTAATTTGATAGACTTACTTTGCTTTATTTTAATTATTGTTAATTTATTCATATATATATATTCAATGTTAGTTCAGAGTATAACTAAATAATTTTATTTTGAAATAAAGTAATGTTGAATTAAATAAATCAAACAATTATAACCCCGCCCACAAATAAACTGGTAAAGAACTACTTTGGTTACCAGTTTCATCTTTTTACCCTGATTGATACGGTTTTATGCTGTCACGTATTAATGACAGTCGACGTGAAAGGATTTTTTACAGTTTAAAATTATATTAGATGTGATTTTCTAATTATTTATCGAAACATAGATAGGAAAATAACTGGTAACACAATAATTTCACTATTTATTTTTAGCTTGTAAAATGAAACATGCATATTTTGTTTCGTAAGCTTGAATGAGGTCCTAAATATGCCGATCTCAAAGTTTTATGCAATAATTGTTTTTGTGTGGAATCAATAGCAAAGACTATAACAGTTTAAGACTTATAATAAAAATACTTGTTTGGTGTTTGGGACAAACAAACGTTATCTGTTTTTATTCAGTATCATATCATTTGCATGTTGATACCTGAATTTAATGGACAGAAAGTCAAAGGAACTATAAAACATATTTCAGAACCTCATTTAATATGAGACCTAACAATGGAAGGAAGTGTGTATCACTATCTTAAATTGCTGTCCCAACGTCAACAATAAATGAAACAGACATTTGATTACAAAAGACTCAACTTCAAGCATGGACGGTTTCTTTCCTCAATGTGCCCACGAACTTGGGCTATTTTTAAGTTAACGAACTGGGGCTACTAAAGTATGTTTTCCATCTGATTTATTTTAAGTCTTTCTTTTGTAATTCATCTTGGCTTTTTGTATTGGAAGCGAAACGCATGGGTCTACCTAAACAGTGGCAAAATCATTGATTTTTGTGCGAGAGAATCAGAACGGTTCGACATTAAAGGCGTTCCGTTTTGTTTAAACAGTTAATTTAAGATAGACGTTATTGGGAACGAGCATTAAAAAAAAAATAAACGCTGTATTGAAATGAAAAGTTTAAATAGTTTTAGATTCTGTAATTAAGCATACGTGTTACATGATCCAAATAAAAACGCATCTAAATTCTTTTTAGGTTCTATAGCTTACTTGTTTTAAAAATGTAAGTTAATCGTTGTTTTTATGGAGCCTGAGTTTCTGATATTACAATGATGAAATAACAACCAAACTTTCACATACTAACACTCACTAAATTATACAAATTGTAATTGTACTTTTTTTAAAGATTAAGTAGGAGTCATTTTATGAGCATTGTTTTTATTTTTTTATTTTTACATGCAAAATTTAAGAAGTTTCTTTGAATTAACTCAGTATTCAGGAAACTCAGCTTCAAACTCATGCACTTAATTCAAATACAAGTCGCTATCGAATCTCAAAAATGTCACGTGCAGTGTGGTTTGTGAGCCACAGTTTGCAGACCACAGAATTAGCATATTAAGGCTGTTTTTCAATGGCTCTGTAGTCGCATGAAATGATGCTCTTTTGCGAATAATATGCTACTTTTATAAATGTTAGTTTCCGACAGTTATTCATGACTGTTAGATCAAGTTTAGCCTGTCTTTAGGCATCTCTCTCTATGTTTATTCCATAGAGTTGAAATAGAATATTGTGCCCCAGTATTTCAACTCTATAGTTTGTTCAGAAAATGGCGCAAAACGTCAACATGGAGAAAAGCAACAGTTTTGAGAAAATAAAAAGCGTTTGTTGTCCAATTTTTTAAGATTTTAAAACTTACTCCAATGCTGCATTATGTGGGCTCATAAAAATCTGTAAAAAATGGGAATAAGGCATTAAAGTTTAAAATGATAAGGCCTGTAAGTTTAAAAATGATAGCTTTAATACAAGAATATGGCACTTAAACTGTACTTTTTTTTTTCTTTGGCGAAAAAGCTTCGAAAAGCATGTAAAAACAGAATTTCTGTTTTGTAGCACTTGAAAGTACCACCTTATAACTATGTGATACGTTCAAATTTAAAACCAATTATTTGAAATCAAAATTACTTTTCTCTCCAGATACACTAATAAAAATTTGTAAACATGATAGATAAAAGTATAGCTGTATTGTTTTTTTCTTCTTTTTTTTTTAAATTTTGATTTGGACCATCAGGATGTATGTGACAGCTTAATATCTCCTAGAACCTCTGCACGGTTTACTATGAACAAGTAATTTATAACTTAGTAATCCAAAAGTAATAACATCTTTCATATTTTTCAACTGAGCAGTTTAGTAGCAGAACGTAATGACTTTCTTACTTTCCTCCACTGCGCAGTTTATGTTCGCTGCGCCGAACTACTACATTTATCCGTGCTGGGGCCATTTCACTTCTAGGGGGGGTGTTTACCATTAATCTGGAAATAGGTTTAATAAAAAATATTCCTATTCTATATTTATGCATAAAAAATAGTACATGTGTGTTTACAGGGTGAGCATAATCCTGTAAAAATTAAAAAGTGTTAGCAAATGTTTCAGGAAGTTATGGGCTGTGTATGTACGCACCTTTGAGAAACATGAAAATGGGTTTTCCGCTGCGGATTAGAGTAGAATATTATATTGACTTTATAACAAAATTGGTATAAAATTTAAATTTTTTCCAAGTGTATATGAACCGAGATATCTTTAAATGATTAAACTGGTTTTTTAAAAAACTGCTTGAATGCTTGAATAGCCATTAAAATTGTGCCATATCCTTCATTCAAGTGCCTTATCAGTACTCGTGTAGTTATAATCCGATGAATAAAAGTTCATAATTCTTTTTTGGTACCTTAGACTACTGCAATCTAATCATTTCCACTTCAACTAAGTGATAACAATGTCTTCTTTAAGAGTTGACATTTAAAAGACGGCTCGTTGCTACATTTTTCTGTACTGATATTCTTATCGGATATACATACAATTGAAAGTTCTTTTTTATCTTCCAATTACAGTGAGAGAAAAGGTCAAGATTGATTGGAAAGCTTTTATAGAGAAATTATCTCCATTTAGTAACGAAATGGTGAAACAAAAATATTTAGAAGTATATGTTTATGTATTTACTTTTTATTCATTATTATTATTTTGAAGTACAGAAGCTACTTTACTTATCGTACGATTTTTATGTAATATAACAACAATAACTCTTGTTCTATTTATAGCTTTACACCTCTAATTTGGATTTATAGTCGAAAATCAAGTTAAGTAGAGGGTAATTAATATAAAATCATAGCGTTATAAAAGTAGAGGATAATACATTGGTGTTAGAAATTAAGAGAATTTGCATACTTGATCGATTATCTCTAGAACTACTGGTCCGATTTTAATGAAATTTGATATGTACATACATTGATACAGTACAAAACAAATTCAACAATTGTAATACACACGCATGAACGTGCGTAACACTCGTTGGTGTCGGAAGGTATGAAATTGCCACAGGACAATTCAGGACAATTGCAACAGGGAATGATAAACTGCCTTATTTCAAGTATGAAATCACACTGCAAGGCCTGTATGTCTGTAAGAGGGGACCATACCCCCTATTAACCCATTTTTTATTTTTATTTTTTTTAATCTTCAGCCGCTATTTCATACCTTCCTACTCCAACGAGTGTTACGGAACAATCATGCGTGTGTATTACAATTGTTGAATTTGTTTTGTATATTATCAATGTATGAACATATCAAATTTCATTAAAATTGGTCCTGTAGTTCTAGAGATAATCCAAGTCTGCAAATTCTTTTAATTCCTTACATCAGTGTATTGAATAGATAATACGCATAGATAGTATGTATGAGTAGAGATAATACGTATA